CAGCCCATCCCTGGACAGTCTGTCCTCATTAGACAATCCCTTTCTCTCTCTCTCTGGAGTACCTTCTCTATAAATAGACCCTGCCCTGCCACCCTCCCCACAGGTCAGAGAGGGACCTGTCATGGTGGGACCCCCGGCCCAAAAGGATAACACCAACATTGGACAAATGTTGATAACATAGATACATAGATAAACACAGCCAAGAAATAGGAGTAGGAGAGAATGGGATGAAATGTTACACATAAGTACCCGAAATTATTTTTTCTTCTTAACCTCAAAGAATTAACCTAAAAGTACATCCTATATTCTATGATATTCCTAAAAATCTACAAAATGTATGAATTTGGAGCAGAACGTATTTGAAAATCCATGCAAATATTCAACCAATCACTACACAGCAAATTTTCTGTCATATCCACTCCTCAGAGTTTAATTTGACTCTTTTAAAGTGCTTATATTGGTCTACACCAGAACCATTGAATAGGAGAGTTTTGCCAGAGAAAGACAAAGATGGTTAGTTTACCAGGGTGTCCAGTATTTTGGTAGCCCATTTAAAATACATGTAGATCTGTGACAGACCCCATACTTTTGGTAATTATGTTATAATACACAAATCAATTATGTACTTTGTTATCAGACACAATGCAACACCATGCGATCAATGTCAAACACTATGCTGATGACATTCAGCTGTATTTGTGCATAATTCCTAAAGAGAAAGATCGATAACATAGACTACAGGCAAGTCTTGAAGACATACAAATCTGGAAGAGTTTAATTTTAAGACATTTAATCTTTTAAAATCTTTGAATGTTGACAAAAGAGAAGTCATAGTCTTCAGACCAGTGCCCTTAAGAGGCTGATCCTTCAGTCGCTTCATGTTGATTGCATTAAATTGGTTTCAGATAATTGGTTTCTTACAGTTAAAAGGGTGTTGGCACTGTCGCTGCATGTATACTTGGTGTAGGGGTTTTTCTGCAGACAACGACACAATGCAAGCGAATATACTGTTGCCATATGCTGACCCAAGAGGGAAAAGGTCCTGCAAAGTCAATGACTGGATGCAATCAGCTTGGTTTCCTTTGAAAGAAAACATTTAATTGTCTCTGTAAAGTTCCTTGTGACAACGCTTGTTGTGAATTGGCGCTATATAAATAACGCAAACTAAACTGAATTTACTAAAGGTTTGTTATGCTGTAGTAATCTTCCTATATGGCATTACAGGTTTGTTAAATTTGCTGGATGTAAGGTTAATAGATTGGTGGATCTAAATCTGACACCAGGGCAGGCTGCCTTGGACATTCAAAGCAGGAAGTTGCCTAAAGTGCTCTGTATACTCCGGCAGTGATCATGTCACAGGTATGACACAGATACTTTTGATTTATACCTGATTTTAAAGTGCGGTCCGCACTACGTTATTCCACGCCACAACGAAAGAGAGACAATCACGAACAAGCTAGGATTGTGGGTGTGGTGGATGGCGTGTTTCTCTTCCGGTTACGGAGGTGTTTAAAATACAATGGAGACTGGACCAATGCGCACTTTGACTGAGATGCAGCTGATCAATCTAGATTTGGGTACTTCCTCACTTCTTCACAGACTTCCTCTTCTAGCTGGTCCATCTCCACAAGTCTTTTCCACAATGGCGGTCATACAAACAAAACAAGCCGGTAAGGTACCAAACAGGAAATACGCCTCGTGTAGAGCGGATGTAGAATTGACCAATCAGAGGCCTTCTTTCTCTCCTCCCTGCCATGATATTTGCGGCACTTTCTGCGGTCACCTACAATTTTGGGGAGGTGCGCAAGAGTGTCTGCAAGAGTGTCTGGGGGAGGGGGAGGGGCATATCTGTGTTAACTGCAAGACACACGCAGACGACCTGGTTTCTGTGCATAAACAAGGCTTAAGAGCATACATTCTTAGAACTAATTACATCAGTAAAAATAAATAATTAAAGGTTTAAATGAAAGTATATTGAAGAAACTGAGGTTATTCTGTGAAACTGTGAGCTAATTCATATTGCATGGAAATGCTGTATGACCTAAAGAGTAAATAAGCTAGTCTGAGAAATAAACTCCAATTTATTAACAGCTTTCTGGTCAATGAACGGTATGAATGAGATTTGGGGTCCACATCTGCTCTGGGCCTCAAATAATCTTGGACCAGCTCAGCCTTACACCAACAGGCGAGTCTAAAAAAACTTTAAATTCATTTTAATTCAGTTTATTTATATAGCACCTATTCACAACATGTCATCTCCAGAAACTTTACAGAGACGATTCAATCAGATTATAGCCACTCACAAATCTGTTTTTTTTTCAAAGGCTCTTGTCCAAAGATCATAACCTCTGCTTTATCTGTAATCGAGAGAAGAAAGCGTAGAATCATTCAGGTTTTTATATCTTCAAGACATGTCTGTAGTTTATGTAAGTTCATTTCATCAGAATTTATGGTCAAAAATAGCTGAGTATCATCTGCATAACAGTAGAACTTAATCCCATGCTGTCTGATAAGCCTTCCAATTAGGAGCATATAGTAAAGAGAAATATCCCCTTGTAATTGTCCCTGCGGTACCCCACAAATAACCCTGGAGCTTGAGGAAAATGTATCATTAATACCTCCCTTTTTTCTTTCCAGGTTTTCATCTCATATGACATGGTCATATTTTCTTTTTCCCCAACACTTCCAACACCAAAGTCCATTATATGATTCTATTTCTCTACAGTCCAGGACTACACAGCCTGTCAACTAGAATATGACTTCTTTCTGAGTAATGTCCCTCGATTTGACTCGAAGTGTACATATTTTAGCTCTAACCACATTTATGTCACACCTTAATTCATTGCTAATGGATCAGCCAGTGTGAACGCACCATTAAACTTGGCCCTTCCTCCAAAAACTCTCCCTTCCTCATGGAAAACTACTCACCAAACTATACTTGTGGTCAAATTGTCCCCTCAGGTCAGAGCTCTGACAGGGAACAATGAGGAAAACGATGAGTAAAAAAATCTATGATATTTCAGCTTAACTTGCAGAAGCTGTAAACAGTTTCGACTTTCAGTGGGATTTCTTTGTGCAGCCACATTATCGGATAATGAACTAAAGGCTCATTATCCACCTCGACATCAGCATATATTCTGACACATGTGGGTGCCTTACTAAATGTTCAACTGGAGCGTCAAAAATCTAAAAAAAAATTAAGTGCACCATCAAAACTAGATCATATTTATTTTACTCCCCACACCTCTATATAATAATGTCAAGGTAAAAATGGGCTCCAAATCAATTTCTCCTCTGAAACAATGGTGGGTTGGTTGTGAACATCATTCACAAACGCTCTGTGGATGCATAGGGTGATATGTGCCAATTTAAGGTGTTGACATCTAAAGCCGCAGGGGTCCACAAGTCATTATCACAAGTCGACACACAGTTAATGGATGCAGTCTTGCTGCATGAATGTTTCTAAGCATAAGGAATAGGCAAAATTGCAAGAGCTCCCCACGCATAGCCTCCGCGCCACTCCCATTTCACGCACGGCTCACGCACGGAATACCGGGGCATGCCCAAGCGACGTATAGGCTACACCACCTGCTCCATTTTTTCTTTTTTTTTTTCCAGGCAGAGGCAGAGAGGAACGGAGGAAGTCACCGTTTTGACCCGATAATGCAACCTCGACGCACCCCCCTCCTCACCCCTTTGCCTCCCCTCCTCTCCACGTTCAGCCCACGCTTAAAAGCAAAAAGGCGACACATTAAATATTCCTTAATCCAGCGGTGCTTTCACACCATTAGAGCGGCAGCAGACCCACATAAGCGCAGCAGAGAAGCAGCATCCCTATACTCCATTTTGTCTGTCATTTGGAAATCTGGAAAACAGAAGGATGTGAGGAGAATTGGTAGGGTGGGGGGCGTTAAAGGGGGCGCAGAGAAGGAGAGAATGAAGCAAACACTTTGGGGGTCATTCTGAAAACGACATAAAAAAATGAAAAAATAAAAATGACTTTCAGGCGAGCATCCTGATTGGCCCCTGAAGCCATAGGAGCGCCTGTCAGGGTCAGTTCTTTGTAAACAGGGGTTTGCTTAGATTATAAAAGCTAAGTCAGGGATGAGGCCTGGCAAAGTTAGCGACAATACCAGCGATCCAAACACATCGATCATCGGACTCGTGGCTCCGACAGGATCTAAAAGCAACTGCAAATGTAGGTCAACACATCTGCCCATCAGAAAACAGGTAGATCACCATCATCGAGTCTAAAAAAAATAGAGAATAGAGGAAAAACCCCTCTTTACTGACACAATGACAGCTCTTTGCAAATCACCCTCCACCCACCCACCCACTCCTCTCTCCTCCTCAGCATCCCGAGCATCGTTGCATACTTGCAGCATCATCCCGTGACACCATCCGCATCCTCAGCATCAGCACCGCAGCGCGCGCTCTGCCCGTTTCATTTACCTTTATGTCTGCCTTTGGCCGTCATCGTCACGCTGTTTGGGCTTTCATTGGGACCAGACGCTCGTCGTGTCCCCTCTCTCAGTCAGTGATTTCCCCGCTTCTCTCCCTCCCTCTCTCTCTCTCTATCTAACGGGTATGATTCAGTAACACCAAACCACCGCTAGGAGAGGAGCGCATGCAGCTCTTGCAGCAACGCAGGATGTCGCGCAATTGCCTCGGCTATATGCAGAGAGGAGGAGACATCCCCCCACCCCCTCTGTTAGAAAATGGGGTAATGCCTCTGTGAGGGGGTGAATTCTAATAGAATAACGAGGGAAGACCCTGATTATGGCGTATAGTGCCGGATACCCCTCCCTCCCCTAAAAGAGGCATGCATGGTGACTCGACAACCAATTATGCACATTTTATTTCGTGCAGCTATGATGGAAAAAATAATAAGCTCCATTCAGAATAAAGTAATAAGAGGCAGAGCTGCAATGGCAAGACGGAGACGGACACACAGACACAGCAAGTCAGAGCAGAAACAGGCGCAGAGGAGCTCTGCCTACATTTGATCACCCGGTCCGCGGGGCTGGCGCTGCTGTCGGACATCCTGGAGACGGGATGGGAGAAGAGCCGAAAGAGGGGGGGCGGGAGAGGGGGGTGGGGGGTGGCTTTCTCCGCTGCTGTCAAAGGCCGCGGTGGTGCTGTTTGGTCCTCCGGCAGGCGAGGGTAATAAACGCGGTGGCTGCGCGATGATCCTCCCGCTGCAGCAGTGGCATCACTCGGCGGAGGCTCCGTGGGACGGGGGAAGCCTGCTGCTGCTGCCGCTGCTGCTGCTGCTGCGCCTGTGGTGACTTTGGGGGAGGAGAGGCGGATACCTAGCTCTGCTGTGGTGGCATGCTTGGATCCTAAGTGTGTGTTTTTTTTTAAAGGGGCGGGGGTTGCTTGTAAAGCAGTGCTGCTGCGGTCAGGCTGGGTAGGGGTTTGTAGGTTGGGGTGGCACTGGGGGGGCTGTACCCCTGCAGAACGCCGCGCAGCTGGCGACACCCCGGAAAAGCGAAACAAGGAACCCCCACGCAGATTCACGCACACGTGGATTGACGCCGTAACCCCCACGATAAAGCCACACATACACACACACACACACCCTTACATCAGAGACAGCCAATAAACACTCAGAGTCATACTGCCATCCCGTGGAGACATCAATTGCAGGGCTGTCCCCGAGTAACTTCGAAGTGGGCAGTTGTGCGTGGGTTGGTGCGTGTGCACATGCATCTGAACAGCATCTGTTTTATTACTATTTTTTTGCTTTACAAAAACAAACATGATCTAAAATATACTCTATAAAAACTCTGCCATTTTCTTACCCAGCCATTGATTATGCGCTCATATTCAGTGGCGGTTCTAGACCAAATGTTCCAGGGGCCAGGAGGGGGCCAGTTGTTTTCATGGGGGCAGCAAAGCATGAAATAAAAAACAGGGCAAGGGATTCAAATATATGAAGATAGCTGCAAAAAGTGAGATTTCTTTTTAATTAGGTTTAATAAAAATTCTATGTCTTATTAGGTCAATATACATTCATAATTTAGGAATTTTACATATTTTTGACTTAATTTAAGTTAAAATTACCATTTTCTATAGAATGTGAATTAGAACACAAGAAAAACTGATAAATTCAGCCGTAAAAAATGTTTATTTTTTTTATTTGTTTTGAAAACACATTTAGCTGATTCAAATTGGGTTCCTATCTTAATACCACTGAAGCTATCATCTTATTGTTTTTAAATAATTAGTAAAACAGAATCTGTAAGGGAAAAAATGAAATTGATCTAAAGGACCTTTCAGTGGGGCTGCTCAGTGGCGCAGTGGGTAGCAATGTTGCTTTCAGTGACGTGCGGTCAGGGGAGGCAGGTGAGGCAGTGCCTCACCAGCCATCATGGAAAGAAAGAAAATATATAATCATAAAGTAATTTAAATTGTTATATTAATCCGGTGGTTTGTACTAAAAAATATTCATTTTTCATGTAGCTTCCCCAATTTCGATTTTTATTTGTTCAAAATCGCTGAATTTTCTTATTTTCCCATTCAAATGCTTGGAAGCGATGCCGGTGAGGCAGCAGCGAGCTCTGCCTCACCTTGGATTGCGCAACCCCTGGCTCTGCGCTGGCTGCAAAGCGGAGAGAGCATGTTGCTGTACGGCGTCAATAAAATGGTTTAAACAAATGTAATATGTGAACTTATTTCTAATAATTTGGCTTATGTATATAATGTACAGAGCTTTTTGTCACCAACTGTGTTTGTGTAACGTGTTTCGTGTAATGAGCGATTATAAACGGCAGAGAACAAGTTCGAGGTGAGGCAGGCAGTTCTCTTGCCTCATGGCAGGGGGTGCTCAAGAGACTGAAAACATAAGGCAGGAACAGGACGGATCAAGGAAGGCTTTCTTCCCTGGCAGTGATCTCCATTGAGACAGAGAGACTTTTAAAACTGAAGGAAGATAAGGAGGACTTCTATTCATTTATAAGTAAAGGTAAGACAGTAATAACATTTATTTTGTTTTGTTTTTTAAGGAAATGTGTGTTTTGTGAGCTACAGTTTGTATGTGTAAGGATGCAGAAGTGAAACATAACCTGTAAACTGCTGTCAATCTATGCATCTATTTGCAAATCTGATTCTGATGACGTCAGTGCCTCACCAGCTATGAACCTCACCGCACGTCACTGGTTGCTTTGCAGCAAGAAGGTTCTGCATGGAGTTTGCATGTTCTCCTTGAGCATGCGTGGTTTCTCTCTGGGTACTCCGGCTTCCTCCCACAGTCCAAAAACATGACTGTTAGGTTACTTGGCTTTTTTAAATTGTCCTTTGTGTGCGTGAATGGCTGTTTGTCCTGTTTATCTCTGTGTTGCCCTGTGATGGACTAGCGACCTGTCCAGGGTGAACCCTGTCATGATGGGTCTCTGTGATTAAACCCACATGCAGAACACCACACGAAGCAGGGTAAAAGTTTAACAGTTTATTTAAGAGTGGTACAAACAGAGTAAACAAAGCACTGGTTCTGGTACTGGTCCGGGACTTGGTTTCACAGAGAAATCTGCAGAGATGGATTGTTTGGTTAGCCAGGTAGCAGCGATGGTTTGATAGCATTTTCATTCTGGTTTGTACCTGATGAGATTCAGACTGATCAGTGGAGAGAGGGAACCGGTTAGGTCCAGAGACTGTGGTTCCAGCAGAGAGTTCAGCAGCGGCAGAGCTTAGCTTCAGGCTAGCGAGATTCAGACCTTGAGATGTCCTTCTAGTTCTCTCCTGAGAACTAGTTGGGAGATTCAGACTGAGGATCTTCAGGTTTGGCTTCTTTGGGCAGGCAGGCAGGTTTCCAAACATAAGCTCCTCCAGAGCTACTGAGTTCAGTCAGGTTTTCCTGTGAGCAGAGAGGACAGAGACTGGTTAGGATCAGGTTGCTCTCTAGAGCAGACAGAGATAAAAGTTCAAGCTGTGGCTCAGGTTCCTGCTAACCAAAACTGGTCAACACTCCGGCGCTGAAGACAGGTCTGGCTGCTGCTTATGTAAGAGGTCTCCTGATGGGCTGATGATCCTCAGGTGTGCAGGAGGCTCCAGCTCAGGAGACCCATAGCGCTCTCTGCTGGAGACAGGTGGCAGATCTCCAGATCCCAACAGAAAAAACATAAAAACAGGAAGGGATCCTCGGCGCCCTCTGGAGGGCAAGCCTCTGGATCCCAACAAACCCCACCTCTCGCCCATTGACAGCTGGAGATAGGCACCAGCACCCCTCGCGACCCTATTTGGGACAAGCGTGTCAGATAATGGATGGATGGATGGACCTATCAGTGACCATGTCCGTTCCGGCGCACATCATCATTAGAATTTCTTCAGTACAGGGGCCAGGACATGATCTAAAGGGGCATTGGCCCCCATTGGGCCCTGTCTAGAACTGCCCAAGTATTTTTGACTTTTTACAACGCAGCAAACAAAACAAAATCTAATTTAGAAGACACAGGACTGTTAATCATCTGAATGAGCAAAACAGTTCAGTGCAGTGAGGAATGCTCCAGTCTACCTCCTCTGGACAAGACTAGGCGGTACATCTACACCTTATGGACAAGAACATTCTTTTGAAGAGCAGAATGTTCACATTTTGGACAAAGAAGAACATTTGGTTTGAGAGGGGTATGAAGGAAGCCATTTATGTTAAGAAAAAAAAATCAACCTTAAACAGAGGGTGTGGACTGAAAAAAAAAACTACAATGCAGCGATAGAGTTGATTCCTTCCCGCTATCATCACCACCCTGACTCCCATGGGGGGAACAGAACATCTTGCTTGTTCAGCCAGGGCAACAGGTCCTCTAACGACCCTCTTTCAGAGACTTAGACCCAACGACTCCCCATTCCTAAGGGGCAGACCCATTCTTTAGGTTCAACTTGCATGCTTTCTAAGCAAAAACAAGGCATTGTTTTGGTTGACTCTATTAAGCCTTGAACTCAACACTATTTCTGACATTTTGAATTGAAGAAGCTTCCTGGATGGGAAGCGAAACGTTTTCAAACTTGGAAACGAAGTCCAGTGGAATGTTTTTTTTTTTACTTTTTTTTTTTTTTACTTTTTTGGAGAAATAGGGTGCTTTTATTTTTATATATTTTAAGTGTTTTGTTTCTTCCATAGCAATATATCAATGAATACACCGTCCAGTTGGAGGGAGAGACACTGCATATACAATGGTCATCATGGATCCATATAACGAACTTGCAGAGACACCAGGCTCAGAATGTACCTGAAAATAACGCAGACAAAATTCAAACACGATGGAGAGGAATGAAGGCTTTAAGAAGTCCTTAAGAACACCGCTCTTGATTTAAAAAAAAACAAACAATATATTCTAGTTCAGTTTCCTCATAAACCAATGATAATACAAAATGGTCTGTGTCCTGACACCGTTTTCCCAGTCAAGCAATCAAAACCGATTTGCCTTTTCTGGTGAAACACACACCCATAAACGCATCATTTCCTGTCTTATACGAACTTTGTCCACATTGGCTTCTACAGCATGGATGGGTGGGTTCTGTGGCAACGCATTTGGTCTTCTAGACTGTTACATAGTTTGTTAGTAGCTAAGTAGAAAGTCCACTCTGTTTTATCCTTCTGAGAAAGAAGAGCCATGGCTGGGCTTTCTTTTCCAGGAGAAAGGTGTTGTCAGTCCAGCAGAGATCTGAATACCCAGGAGCTTTATGCTGCCTGCATGCTCTATCACCCCTCCATGTATGCAGAGAGAAACATTTTCAGTCCTCCTGGACCTCATGTAGTTCACTATGACCTGCTGGGTCTTGTTGGTGTTCAGGATGAGGCTGACCCTGGAGCTCTATTGTGTCGTATTATGAATATTTTCTCTCGATATAAGACCCACCATGGCGGTGTTAAAGATAGGCTCTCTGTGTCTACACAGAGAAAAAGGATGACTTAAAGATGCTTTACTATGTTATAAATTAGACTGGGTTTTTGATAAATAGTTTGGTGGGTTTGAATTAGCATAACATTAAAGGGACAACAACCTGAAACTTCAACATTTGGGAATAATAAAGTAGCAACAAACTGCAATTTAGGAGAAATTAGAACATTTTTGAGCGAATTTTTAAACCAAATGATACCATCTTTCAATATAAGCAACATTGATGAAGGCTTAATAAGTTAATTATGCTTATGACACTTCAATATCACGCCCAGAATCTAAAACTTCACCATTTTCAGCTGCAAGCTGGTTTAAATTTAGCATTGCAGAAGCTACATTCTTAAAGTTGGGGATGGGTAACCATACATTATATGCACAAAGCAATGAGAACACCAGAATTTACTGAATCTGTATTTTATAAACTTTACAGTCATGCTTGTGTTTGGATGGTTGAGCAGTG